TTCTTTTTTTTTAGAAAATTCAAAAAAAATTTCATCTAGTTAAGGATCATTCCTTTTTTTTCTTTTTTTCTTTTCTCGAATTTTTTTTTCGCAGACAAGACGAAGACAAAGCCATGGGACTGGCTATGTACATACATACATACAGAGTATAGATGTGACAGTCTCTTTTGTTTTGTCCAGCGGATGTCGTCACAACTTCCTGGGTCCTAGGAAAACCCTGGCAGGATTCCATCCAGTTCTTATCAATTCTTATCTATTTTTTTGGTGGTATTTCCTATTATTGAATATTGAATATTTGGAAATATTTGGACTGGGATGAATGAGGACACTGAACATAATAATAAATATTAAATATTATTATTGTGTAATAAATAGCTAATAATTGAAATCAATCAATCAATCGGATTGACTCTGCTTTTTTTTTCTTTATTCCTTCGAGTCGAGTTGGAATATACAGTACATATAAGAGAGGCAAAAAGTTAATGAAGGCTTGAGTCTGAGCTCCTCTCTCTCTCTCTCTGACTTTTTAGGAGGGGGTCATTCATGTCGTGTCATGTCATGTCATTGTCATGTCGAATGTCGACCTTGGGGGTCTTAGATTGTCAGTCATCACCATATTTATTTATTTAGGTAGGTAGGTAGGAAGGTATACACCATCTTGAGTGGAGGACTTCAAGTACTATATTCTCTCGAGATAAGGATGTAGATGCTGAGCATGCTTTCATATATCTACTTCTATCTATATACTTTAGTGAGTTGATATACTTAATGATATTCCTCCCGAAAAACCATCACCCGCTCCCTCTCCTCCCCCGTGCTATCCTCCTCCATCCACGCGCGGAACATCCCGCCGCAGTTGAAGTCGTGGACGACTTTTCCCTTTCGTAAAGAGTTTCTATCAGCGTCACTCTCCAGCTCCGCCTCAATCCCAATCAACCCGCCCATCCCCTCGCCCGTCTTCCCCCATCGCTGGCCCGCGGATTGCTGCAGTTCGCCTCCCGGTCCGGCTACGGCTGTGATGGCTTGTCCAAGGGAGAGCTTCTTGTCCGAGAAGCGGAGCATGGCGCTGGCTGTTCGGGCGGCGTTGAGTCGGAGGAAGGAGTCGCCGTTGCCGGTGCCGGAGAGGGCGACGGCGCGGGTCGTGCGTTTGCGAACAGGTTTAGTTGTAGACGAAGACTGATTGAGCAGTGGCTGCTTCTCAGTCTGCTGTCGCTGAACAGTCCGCGATTCAGACCGCCCAAGACAATCGCCCAGGAAGAGATCCTGGATCAGGTTCCACGGGGACAGAGCGTCCCAGTGGATGGTGAAATTCGGCTTGTCTTCTGTCCTTGAAGCTCCAGCTCCAGGTCTATACACCATCGTCTGGTCTGGTACCGTCTGTTCTGGCGCCGTCTCTGACGACCACGACTCCGCCCAAAACCCAGCACCCAGCGTCGGCGTATCGCCCACCCGGCCAGGCTTCTTGTTCGTCAGCCCGCCCGTACTCGTCGCCGTGGCCAGATTCCCCCACTGATCGAGACAGACGCAGCCGACGGTGCCCTGGCTGAGGGTAATATCCTCCTTGATGCCCTTCAGCCCCCGCTGATGCTCGTCCCATCGGGCCTTGGTCCAGAACCACTCGTCGGGCTTGAACTCCAGACCCCAGTCTCGCGCCAGCGTCTCGACGTACGGCCCGCTGAGCTGCGAATGCATGTTCCCTCCATCGTCTGCCGCATCGCCATTCTCGTCGATCCCCGTCCGCAGCAGCACTTCCCGCGCCAGCTGTACCGGATGGCGCACGTTCTTGACGCGGATGACGCCTGCGCCGCGCTTGATGGCTGCTCGGCCAAGACCGTGTCCATGATTATGACTATGGTCTCGAACAGACGTCACCATCACCGAAGCCTCCATCTCGATCGTCCCCGCAGACGTGAACACGCTTCCACGGCCGCAATTGAAGAGCTCGTCATCTTCGAGCAGCGAGACGGCGTGGACAGCAGCGTCCAGGGCGCTGACGCCATTCTTGAGCTTCTCGTACGTCGACCGCAGGTAGGACAGTAGCGAGGCGTGGTACTTTGCCCAGAGCTCAGGAGGGAGCTTGGACCGCTGGATGGCGCCCGCGCCGCCGTGGATGATCAGCGTGGGTTTGAAGAGGGGGTGGTCTGGGTGAGAGGAGGTCATTTTTCAAATCCACTTGTATTGTCTCGGTTGGAGAAGGTGATGGCTGAGAGATGGCTGTGATGGGATGGATGATAAGAGATAGATAAGAGATTAAGTAGATGGCTTATCTCCCCGCACGGGACGGGATGACCACTTCCGCCAATCAGGAAACAGTCTTCCCTTCAACAATAAAATGTATACATATCGTCGTGCCGACTCTTTTATCATCTTACTGATTGATCATTCGCAGCAGATAGATACATACAAACATGGTATGTAGATATAGAGAAATTCCAAGAAAAAAAATTCCAGACAAAAAAAAGAAGAAGTATTTCCTTCCAAAAGATAATATCCACACGAAATAAATACCCTTGCATATACAATACAGCTCGATTAATTCAATCAACTCTTCGTCAGATATATATATCTACCACCCCTCCACCACTTTAAACCTCGAAATCACCCCGTCCAGCGGCGCCTGCGTGACCGTGCTGCGCACCCTCAACTCCGCATCCGGATCCTTCAGCTCCATCTGGAACCTCCCCACCAGCGCCGCCACCACGCACGCCAGCTCGCTCCGGGCGAAGCCCTGGCCGATGCAGCTGCGCGGCCCGTGGAGGAAGGTCAGGAACGAGTAGTTGCTGCTGGCGCCGCCGCTGTTTGCTCTCCCCGGCCCCAGCCACCGCTCTGGTTTGAACTTGTCTGCGTCCGGGCCCCAGAGCTCTGGGTCCCGGTTCGTGGCTTCGGGCGCGATCACCAGGATCGTCCCCTCGGGGATGCGAGAGCCCTGGATAGTCGTGTCGCGTGTTACGGCTCGCACTGTCAGAGGCACCGGGGGGTAGAAGCGGAGTACTTCGTTGCAAAAGGCGTTGAGGTAGGGCAGCGAATCCACCGCCGCTGCCGTGACGGGCGCCGGATCCTCGACCGAGATGGGAGGCAGATTGGCGCGGACTTCGTCGCGCAGTCGCTGCTGCATCTCCGGGTGCTTGCAGAGCACGTAGACGCTCCACTGCAGCGCGCTGGCGGTCGTCTCGTGCCCTGCGGCCAGGAAGGTCATCATCTGGTCGACCAGGTTCTCCTCGGAGAAGGTGCCGCTGGTCAGAGCGGCCGTGAGGATGTCGACGTCCCGGCTGGCTTTGTCGTTGCTCTCAATCTGGGCCTTTTTCTCCCGGATGATCTGCCGCGCCACGGTGCGGATGTACTCTGCTCCGGCGCGGAAGTCCCGGTTTCGTTTTAGCGGCAGCTTCATGACGAGTCTGGGGCCGATGAAGAAGATCCCCAGCAACATGATAAACTTCATCCAGGGCGACGGCTCCGTGACCAGGTCCCGATACGTACGGCTCAGTTCGTTGTCCGGGTCCTGGATGGAGCCGATATCGTAGCCCAGGCCGGCCAGGCCTAGGATGTCCAGCATGGTGCGGCCCGCCCAGTTGCGCACCTCGACGATGTTGTCCTGCGAGGGCAGCTCCTTCTCGATCTCCTTGATCATTTCGATGCCCTTGGCCCAGAAGACGGGGTACAGGTCTTTGATATGGCGGTACGAGAAGGCGGGCATCAGGGACTTGCGCTGAGTCTGCGAGCAGAATGAGCATTCATATAGGTACAGAAGATAGAGATTTTTTTTTTAAAAAAAATTCTTTCTTACCTTATGCTCATCACCTTCAGCCAGAAGCAGCCCGTTCCCAGTCAGCCGAGCAAGCTGCAACCGTGCGAGTTCGGTTTTTGGGAATTCATAACCCCGCGTGACGAGGACCTCACTCAGGGCCTTGGGGCTGGTGACCAGCACTCGCTCCAGATTGCCGACGGTGTAATACCGGATGAGCCCGTTGTTGGGCACTGTCTGAATCCATTTGGCAGCGAGTTGGCCGGGCGATTCGAGGAAGACCGACTGGGTGTTGCCCTTGATCCATGATCGGCCCTGAAGATCGTCAGAGTGTGATTTACAATAATTTTTTTCTGACAGATTGACTTACCGGCGGCGTAGGCAGGTGTTTGATTGGGGACAGAAATTCAGGATACAAAATAGCGCTGTACACGAACCGGGCCAGTCCCGTGACCGCGAGGAAGACGGCGGCCGTCACGGCGTACGAATGCAGCAGCGCATATTCCGGCTTGACGGCGACCAGCAGGACGGCAGCGCTGACAGCTAAAAGATTCCAGGGGGCCATCTTGCTGGTAACTAGAAAGGTTGCAACATTGATCAATATTAATCGTGCAAAGTGCTCTCAATTTAAGCTCCTAAGTTATACCGCGGCTGTGCTGGAGCTGATCTATTAATAAGTTTAGCTATCGTTGCACGATTGGAACCGGACTAGTAAGAAAGACTCCGGACTCCGTAGTCTGAAGAATGTAATTAGTTTGCTATTAGGCAACTGCTTTCCTGTATATTCTACTGGCTGGTTGAAAAAAAGAAACCAGGCAGTCACTTTTATTAAAAAAAAAGGCATCAACAATAATAGTACTATTATTATTCCATCCACAGGAGGTAATAATAATAATCACAAGCCAGTTGCATTAATGCATTACTTGACCCGCCAATAAAACACAAGAAGCACCAGCTCAACAGTTCACTCCTCACTGCCCTCCTACCATAAGCCACTCTCCGGGGTGCCTGCCAATAACAAGCGCGAGTGGCCAAGTGGTAAGGCACCACACTCGTATATAACAAAACGAATCATGTGGGGATCCAGGGTTCGAATCCCTGCTTGCGCATGTTTTCTTTTTACAATTTTTTTGACTTACTACTACTACTACTATATACTGCAGATATACTGTAGATGCTGTGTGAGATGTTTTTTTGTTTTTGAAGTTTCTCTTTTTTTTTTAATAGAATTATTCTAATCTTTTCTAATAGAATCATTCAAGTTAGTTTTGACTGCTTATGGAATTGTCTAATAATATAATGCACAGTCTGTATCGAAGTCTATATATTTGTGAATCGTCTATCATGTCACTTGTCTATCGACATATGTACAGTTCTCTCATCTCATTAGTTTAACTACTCCTCCCCGATCGCTTCGGCAGATACACACTCTCCCCCCGGTGCGAAAACCCCCAGCGGATCTGGTTCGCCATGGAGATCTCCAGGTCCAGCTCGTCGGCCCACGCCCACACCAGACCGGGGTTCTTCTGGAAGCCCCGGCCCACGAGCGCAAAGTCCAGCCCGTCCTCCTCTAGCAGCTTGTTGGCCAGCTTGCCCGAGTTGATCATGCCGACGGTTCCCACGGCCAGCTTGTCGCCTACCGCCTTCTTCACGGCGATGGCGAACGGCGCCTGGAAGCCTGGCGCCCCGCGGATCTTCTGCGCCGGGTGGTTGCCGCCCGTGCTGATGTCTAGCAGGTCGATGTCGCCCTGCTCCGCCAGGATCTGCGCCAGCCGCACCGTGTCCTCGCTGCGCCAGCTGGGCTCGTTCGGCAGGCTCTCCTCCAGCCATTCCGTGGCCGACACGCGCAGGAACACGGGCACGTTGGGCCCAACGGTCTCACGAGTCAGCCGGGCAATCTCCAGCGTCAGCCGGATGCGGTTCTCGAAGCTGCCGCCGTACTCATCCGTGCGCTTGTTGGAGACGGGCGACAGGAACGAGAACAGCAGGTAGCCGTGGGCGTTGTGGATTTCGATAAAGTCGGCGCCGGCCTTGAGCGCGCGCTTGACGGCCGCCACCCAGGCCTGCTTGAACTCCTCAATGTCCTGCTTGGTCATGGCGTGCGGCTGCGGGAAGCGCTCCGAGAAGGGGATGTCGCTGGGGCCCTTGACGTTGTCGGGCCAGCCGCCCACCTTCTCGGTGGCCAGGTCGCCCATGGACAGCCAGGGCGCAACGGTGCTGGCCTTGCGGCCGGCGTGGGCGATCTGCACGCCGATGACCTGGTTCTGGCTGTGGACGAATTCGATGACGCGGCGCAGCGGCTCAATCTGCGAGTCCTTCCACAGGCCCAGGTCCTGCGGGGTGATGCGGCCCTCGGGGAGCACGGCGGTGGCCTCGACCATGAGGAAGCCGGGACCGCGCTGGGCGATGCCGCCGAGATGCGCCAGGTGCCAGTCGGTCATATGGCCGTCCTGGGCGGAGTACTGGCAGAGGGGGGAGAGCTGCGGCACAGTCAGTCAGCAGTCGTCATGCAGATAAAAAGTAGGCACGTACCCCAATGCGGTTGTGGAAGGTCACCCCGCGGATGGTGATGGGTTGGAACAGCTTGGGCGGTTTGCTGCCGTCCGACTGCGGGTTGGCCGCCGTCCCCGCAGGCGGTTCCTGCGCGGGCGTGAAGTAGGAGATGCCCTTGGCGGGCTTGTTCTCGAGGTCGGGGACGCTGGCACGGGCTGACATGGTGGATTTTCCAGTGAGGAATGAGGAGAAAGAAGACTGGTTGACTGGTTGATGAGGGGTCGGAGACTGGAGGCTCTTATATCACCGTCTATATACGCATACGGATGCAGGTCCCACCTGGCAGACACCAAGACTCTCCGACAAACACCGGCAGTTGCAGTGCTCTATTAATAATGCTCTGCTATTTTAAACAGGCTCGGGAGATCGTCAGGGCCGGCGTTGGCGGTTGAACAGGAGTCTGTGACGGACACTCGGCCACCAATCGGTCCGGGTATGCTGTCCGGCTACTCTGCTGATGACAAACGCAGGAAGGCTTCGTGAAAATTCAAGAATCATGCAGAAGCTCCATCGATCAGCAAGAATCCCCATGATGTCATGGCGATGATTAATAATGAAGTCTTCGCGGCGTCTTTTTGCTCCGGCCGCGGCGACTTTAGTAAGCAGCCAATCAGCAGCCAATCAGGTCGCATCCTCTACAGGGAATAAATGAATATTATTTACTTCGATATTCGTCCAGTCAATATCAATATATTTTTTATTCCTCGACGTGGGTCTATCGTCTCTAGTAATCTATGCTAGACCTGTCTCTACATGCTGTAGACTCTATCTCTATTGTCTATCTCTATCTTCGTCTATCATAGCGCCAATGTCAGCAAACTCCGAATCAATGCAAGCGTCAATCGTGTCGTGGGATTTCTAGCTTGTTGTCAGCAGTTTCTAAGAAATGTATGATGATAACGTACCATGTCTGATGATTATGCCCTACAGACTGGCATTCACCTGGGCTTCGTTCCCCACGAGCTCTATCCAGGCTTTCACCGCCGCTTCCTCTGCATCCCATCCCCAGAGGAACTTCTGCGTCTCGCGGTCGACCCAGCGGTCCGGATTGGCCCCTCCGTTCATCGCCTGGCGGAATTGCTCGTCCCGGGCTCGCTGCTCAGGCCCGTCGGGCAGATGCAGTGTGATGCGGTTTTGCGTGCCTGACTGCTGGACGGTTTCAGCCCGTTGCTTGCGCGAGCGTTCGTACGCCTGCAGCGCCAGCGGGATCTCCTGTCGAGAGGAGATGGCTGACAGGAGAATGCCCAGCGCGGCAGCATCCTCCACCGCTTGAGCGGCGCCTTGGGCGACGTACGGCCTGGACGTCTCAGTAAAGGAGCTATACCATGGAGTTGGTGCACTTACAGCATTGGATGGCACGAATCGCCCAGAAGGGCCACCGACCCTCTCGTCCACGTCTTCAGCGGCGGATACAGACACAGCTTCCACTCGAGAACTTCATCCTCCTCCACCATGCCCACGATCTGACGGACCTTCTCGTCCCATCCGGCATAGTCATCGATCATATTCTGCTTCGAGCCCCGGGTCGTCCACGACTCGTCGACGGTGCCCCGGTCCGGATGCAAGAGGACGACGTTATACAGCTCGTGACTGCGCACCGGGTAGGCGATGATGTGCCGGCCGGGACCGATCCAGCGCGTCGCCTTAGGCTGGTCGATGAGCTGCCTCAGCTCCGGATTCGCGAGCATCTTGCTCCGCGGCAGGATAATGCGGTATGCGGCGTCGCCGGTGGCCGTGGGCTTGACGGTGGTGTCGTTGAGCAGTTTGCCCCGGATGGTGGACTTGATGCCGTCGGCGGCGATCACCACGTCGCCTGCGATGACCGTCCCGTCGGCGAGGACGACTTCGGTCGTGTCGAATCGGATGTCTGTCACGGTTGAGTTCACGCGCAGTTCCACGTTTTCCAGGGCGAGGGCCCGGTCGAGGATGGCCGTGTGCAGGTCCGCACGGTGGATGGTGAACGACTCGCCAAAGTCGGTGTTGGTGGGCGTGCGCACGAGGAGACTGCCGTCTTGCCATCGCCGCACTTCGATCTGTTGCAGCGCGATGGCTGTGTCGCGGATGGTAGAAACGCCCCAGCCTGATGCTGTTAGACGAACTCGACCCAACGCGACCTATTTCACCGAAACTCACGTTCGAGCAATCGGTACATGTTCGGAGAGACTTGGATGCCGGCTCCTACTTCCATGAGCTACACATCGTCAGAATGCACCGATCAACCACCGATCAATGACACGAGGGGCGTACCTTCGGCGCCGTTTCAACAATCAAGACGCGGTGACCGCGCAATCCGAGCGTGAGAGCGGCCGCCACCCCTCCAATGCCTGTGATGGTCAATGGCATGTCATACAGAGAGACGTCAATCGATCGTACCTGCTCTGTAGGCTTCAATCAGCATGCCATATCGCCATATCGTATGTATCAAGGGGCACATAGTATGTAATGTACATACCCCACCACGACGACCTTTAACGGCGTCTTCGCCGGTGGTATACCGTGTGTAGCTGCAGCGACCATGGTGACAGTTGGAATCGATCAATCTGTCAATTCGCGTACGATGAATGCAGAGCCCATGGGCCATGCACTCGACCGTTGAAACTGAACAGAGGAGCTGTTATTATGTACTCCGTACCCCGTACCTGGTGAGTCTGACCGTGACTTCGGCATCGCAAACGCCGGATCAGACGGTCTATCGATAAATGACGGTACGACCCACCACGATAAATCGGATCGGCCTGGAAAGAATGCCCAGCTGGCTGCTGCCCCGGTCGACTCCGGAGGATAGCGTCGGATGCGGTGGCCTCTGCATTTACCGGGGAATGGATTCATCATTCGCCAATGATCAATCCAACCACGGCAGAAGGTGCTGGTCGGTGATGCCGATGTGAAATTCTTCATATGAATATGAGCGTGGACAGGGTACAGCTAGCTGGATAGGTACCTAGGTATCAATCTATTTGCCGAGTGCCTGTGCAGTATCTACGGAGTACTCCGTACAGTAGTACATCGATATATCAATAATCTCGAATCTTCAATTCAATTCAATTCAATTTACTCGTATACTCCGTATGCAGTCTGTCAAACTCTGTTCCCAGAGCGGGCCTCTTCTTCTCATCCCACTCCCCGCCGGAATTAATAATTAGTCTTCCTCCGCATTAGGCAGTAATTAGTACATAGTTTCGAAATAATAATAATATCCACACGACTGCAAAATCCACAAATGATAGTATCATACGGAGTCCTCCGTAAATTCAATGAATAAATGAATGAATTGACCCAGCAGTGGAGCAGCAGCTACCTCACTACTAGGTGATAACCCAACAAGGAGGACCCTCAAAATCAAATTCCTAATCCTGAAGAATGCTGATGAATGCACTGCACTTCGGCAATTGTCTCGGCTACAGGTTTGGCGGGAGCCATTCGTTTTGCCGGGGTCATCGACCGTCGACCACTAGTCTAGGACTACTCCGTAGGCAACTAGTTTAACTCGGCTGGGCAGGTCGATATTCCAATTCTAGAATGTCTGGAACGTGGCCACTAATTTTAATTTTTTTTAAAAAAAAGGAAAAAGGATTTTGGGAAATAAGATATTTCATGCTTTATACCTATTTGTACCTTATTAAAGTTAAATTTAAATTTAAAAAAGAAAGAAAAAAGGAAAAAAGAAAGGCCTTCTCGAAGTAAGAGCAATTGATTCAAAAAAAATTTTTTTTCTTTTCTGTTCGGGAAAGGAAACCAAGCAAATCCGCAGACATAGTTACAATTACCCATTCCGTTCATTATTATAAATCAAAAAAAATCCACCGATCTATCTGTTTACGGTAATACGTACGGAGTAGGTACAAGATAGGTAATTTGCAATCCCGGCTGTTGAAGTCGTCTCATCTGCCGATCCGACCTCACCTCAACAAATATCTACTACAGTATCAAAGACTGACCGTCACATGGATAGTGGTCTGTCTTCACGTGCGATGCATTATTAAGAAAACAAAACAGGTCAGATCGGAATTAAGATTCGGATTTCTGTTGAACAGGAGGGATGAATATTCCGTAATCGTTATAAAGATAGATGTGTTTTATGTGTTTTCTTTATCAATCGGGAAGGATCAGGTGATGATCAGGTGATGCATTGATCGAAGGATTGATTGATCGGGTTGATTGATCGGGTTGCTGTTGATTTCTTTCTATCCATTACCTTAGTCTATTAATCTATCTATTAACTAATCTATTGATATTACCAATTACCAAAGAA